GCCCGTCGGCTGTATCATAAGATATTTCCCAGAAGCCTAAAGCATGACTTGAACCCAGCAGATGTATTTACTAATGCAAACTAGCGTCTCTGAGAGCGGCACAGAAGGGGGTTGGGTTTGAAAATTGTGGTCATAAAAAATGCATGTGCTTCGAGAAATCCAAGCGCGTCATCTGGATCAGAAAGATCCTCGATGCATTACAGGCTGCCAGGCAATCATCACTGGCAGAACTCCACCCGTCAGCACCGGGGCGCCATTAGCACGCCGGCAAACGATAAACGACAACAACACCGGCGATAACCACTACAGAAATACCAGCGAAAACAACAAGATAGGGAGGGGAACTGAGCTAAACCGTATTAGAGGCACTAGTAGTACAATTACACATGTTTAGTGGTAGTTATTGGAACCAAAGTCTTCAAACTTCAGCATTCATTTTACACTATACACAATATCCAACAGATCTGTAATATTATTCCATCCATATATCCAACAGGAATAACAACATTCAAATAAAATGATGATTTTTCTCATGACACGGTTATTATTTCTGAGCGCTATAAGAAGGCTGCCATCCTTTGGAAAGTACAAGCGATTCAATCCTCAACCATAAAGACCTAAACTAGCCAATCTGAGGCCGAGCAGGGCGTGTCCTTGTGGAATGTGGGTGGGGACCAAACGTCTTAACGAAGCTGTGTACATAACAGCCGCCATGACCAGCTCAGTTTGAGGCAGGAGAACAGGCGAAGGAAGGGACACGTGTCTCTTCCCGTCATGGAGTCCTAATGAGACCGTATAGAGCCTTCGGATCTATTAAATGAAAAGCAGACCATTAACCCCTCCCCTTGATGAAGTCTAAAAGAATAGAAACAAGAGACCCCATCAGCTCTCTTTGGAGCACTCTCTCCATGTTATCTGACTCCCAAATGGAGACACACACACACACACGCATTCACTTATTTGGTATAATGTGTTCTCCTATTCCTCATTATCTTGTATGAGTGATGGAATGGATCAATGCAGGTCATTGATCTGCCGTTGCTGATGCATAGACTAAAAAGTTAGTATAATAGTATTGATAAAGTCATACTGTGCACACAAACACACGCACACCCAGTAATAAAACCTTACTGGAATAGCACTGTTTCAGGCTCAACTATCGCGCTGATCAGTAGGCGTATGGATTTTGTCTGTTACAGTTGAAACTCGGCAGGAGTCAGTGCACGGCGGTTTGCATGCATTTTAAAGTTTATACTGAACATTTCCTGAAAGTTTTCTACATTTTCAGGACTTTAGTCTTGATGTAATAATCTGATGTATCAGCATCTTGGAAAAGGAATCTGTAGATTTGAAGATTTTTGACGCTGATGTCCGAAGTCACTCAAAATCCTTTTTTGCAGGTATCACCTAAATAGAATTGGTATATTATTCCTTCTGTCTATTAAATCAAATCTCCTTTCCTTTTATTCTCTGTTGCACCAGCAGAGAGCGCTAGAGGAGCAGAGCACATCCAGACACGCTAACGGCCCCATTCTGGAGGTGAGCGGCGTGTGCGGACAGCATAACGCTGGGGAGGGATTCAGCACATCTGTACTCACTTCCACAAAGACACGTTGCTCACGTTGAGCCGGTAAAATCACATCAGGCTAAAATATATGAACACAAATAGAGGTGTGAAACTGTGCCGCTGTCCCTGGTGCTGAAATGTCAAACTCCTGACATTAACTTTGGCTGCACTGACAGAGGGGAAACCGTGACACCTGCCTGTTGGTGGTGGACGCACACACACACACACACTGAAGAATTGTCTGTCTGATCCCATTGAGAGACAGCAGTCACGGAGTCACACTCACTAGCACGGGGTGAGTGTGACTTGCGGCTCGTTGTGTGTGCTGTGTCATCTCTCCTGTTGTGACCACAAGTGCTCAAATCCTCTGATTAATCCTCCCAAAAAAGTAGCCTTTAACGTGCTACTTTTGTGTGATGTGTGATGGTGCTTAAAGGAGAAATCTACGTGATTCAAAGCATTCATTCAGCGGCAAACAGCATGGTGGAGCAGCACAAACCGGTCGCAGCCGGTAACATCGGCGTTGCAACCGGTAATATCGCCGCCACATCCGGTAACATCGCCTTAGCAGCCGGTGACTCTTTCACCCGTGAACCTGTGCCCATCCTTTCCCTCAGGACAAAGTGTATTCTTTTAGCAGGAGAGTAGCTGGCTGTCAGCTGGCTTTTTGGCGTGCTGGCTCCCTAAACCCCTTACACAGTGACTCACATACACACATTTACACTCACGTGCACATGCTCACACACACACACACACACACACATACTCATACTCATCAACGTGCCATGTTGCCACATCTGTTCACATGGAGTAGGATTTTCATTTACATCTGGACTGGGTCATTCCCAGCTTGTGTGTGTGTGTGTGTGTGTGTGTGTGTGTGTGTGTGTGTGTGTGTGTGTGTGTGTGTGTGTGGGGAGTAAGTGGATGGGTTAGAATCTCTGTGGACCTCGGGGTGAATTGCATGGAACCATCCAGCAGCTGCTTTGTGGCTCGATGCAGAGGGACAACGAGCTGAGGCTCCTTTTTGAAGACTGAAAAGGATTCATTTTCTTAGCCAATTTAGGGTCTTGCGGATTTTTCCAGTTTCCACCGAATTTCTGAACAATTGAGAACACCTTCATCAAAATCACGGAAATTTACTTCACAGTTAGACGGACACTAAAACGAACTTGAATAACCATCTGCAAAGGCTAGCCGCATGAGTGGTTCTTAGTGATCATCAAAGACTAAGAGTCAGCAGAGGGAAACTTGAGGCAGGGGTAGACGGGCCAAGTCATGGCTCATGCCGCGGCACACCTGAAGAAAGCCCGCGAGCTCGAGGCAAATCCAGAATACAGAGCTCTGCAGAAAGCGCGGGAGAGGAGGCGCCGGCACCGAGAGAGAGCCGAGCGGAGGCGGCAGGTAAAAGGCACACAACCCTCTGACGACATCCTACTCAATAGTCTGTGTTGTTTCTTTCCCCTTTTCAACCTTGCGTGCTCTTAGGAGTTAAGATGACACGTTGTTGGTGGGCATTGGGGCATTGTGTGTGTGTGTGTGTGTGTGTGTGTGTAAGAGAGGGTGACGGGGGGCAGGGATTGCCCAGATGTGGATCCGTTCTGCTGCTGTTTGCTGATCTTTTATCATTTAATAGACGAGGATGGACTGATGCGATGAAGGCTCAGGCTGAGGGGGACGCGGTCTCTTGCTGGTGGTATCAGACTTTGCATGCAGGGACCTTATTTGAACATATTTTAGATAAAACCATAACCAATAGTACAAAGTCATGGAGGTGGAAGAAAAGAAGGTATTGGACAAAGTGGATCCAAAATGTGTGATTTTGACGTAGTCTGTCCAAATGTAATTTATTATGTAAGTCTATTTGTTGTGACTGTGTTGCATGCTGTCAAGGCACAAGTGACCTACAACCTTAAGGGTACTCTTCAACCCAAAATGTAAAATCTATATTCTGTACTGCTATTTACTACTCCAGATTATTTTGGTGGTAGTTTTATAGATATTGTCTGTCAAGACATCGGCCTTCTTTTTTTTATATAACGGCGCGTTGTGTGTGGAGGGAGCACCACAGCCGTATGTGGAACCCGCCCTGTGGTTCTCCATCCACAAGACATGTTTAATATTCCTAAAACCTGGTTGGTGACAGTTAGTCTATAGAGAGGAAGTGATACCACCACACATTCTTCATTTCAATAAACTCTGTCCCCAATTAAATGAATATTTAGTGTGTGCTTAAGTCCTTCATGGAAACCATGAAGTGAATGTAAAAGAAATCTTATTAATGGTGTACAAATAAATAGCGGTTGTATATCTGTCGGACAGTGTACAGCGTATAATCCAGTATCCATTACATGACTGACTGTGGGTCATTTGCTTTACAGATACAGAGATTACGGCTGCTTCTCAATCAGTCCAATCTCATGTTTGTGTGCATCATCGTGGCAGAGTGACCAAGGAGACACAGTGAAAAAACCTCCCGCGATATAGGCAGACTGTTTTGAGACGTTTGAAGGTCCATTATGACGTGCGTTTGGGATTATAATCTGGGGAGATGTATGAACCTGTCATCCACAGTATGAACCAGCATCAGGCGGCTCTACTTTTTACATTCTACTATTGATGAACAATGAGGCCTTTGCAAGGGGATCAGAGCACTCGGGCTCAACTTGCTTTTGGCTGAAACCCAGATTTCATGCACGCCGACCCTTTGTACTCCTAAGGGGCAATTCGGATGGTAACCGTGGGCAACGCAGCAACATGTCGATCAGATAAAACTTCCACGGTGTTTAACAAACCACATGGTATTCATCTCTCTCTGCTGGTGTGTGTGTGTGTGTGTGCTTCAGCACAGACATGTGATGATACGTTTGATTGTGCTGATCTCACGAGTTAAACACCCAAACGTAATTGAGTGACACGTTGCGTCTTAACCGTGATTAAAATCTTGTTTACACTCTCCGATCAATACGGCCAGTAGTCCTGTGCAAAAGTAGTGTCACACTGGTCTAACACTCGATCCATTTACAAATAGTGTCTGTACTGTGTGTGTGTGTGTGTGTGTGTGTGTGTGTGTGTGTGTCTTGCAGCTGCTTGTTGAAGTCCTACTTCCATAAAACCACAGAACACTGTGTGAACCTTCTGTGTCATTTCAAACCAACACAAGCTACTTCCGTCTGTCTAAATCAACTATGTATACTAACTAGATAAAAATACTTTACAACCATCCCTTTGCAAATAATGAAAAAGAACATCTGCGCATAGATTGGAAAAGGTTGATATTTTTACATTTCTATTATGTAGGTCTTGTTCCGAACGCCTAACCTTTTTGAAATTCCACCTCCCCAGGTAAACTGGAATGAATGAAACTAAACTAGGAAGTACATTTCTATTCCTGTTCCTAATACAAACCTCCTTTCTGCATTCTTCCCTCCAGTCGGACAGTAACACCAGTTTCCTGCGGGCGGCCAGAGCGGGAAACATCGACAAAGTCCTCGACTTCTTGAAAAACGGAGTGGACATCAGCACCTGTAACCAGGTAAGGACACGTTGACGGCGTCCTCCGTGTATCGTCAAACAACGACTCCCAAGAGGACACGTCAATCAAAGTCTTGTCAAACGGATGATAGCACTTATGTCGAGGGAATAAATACATTTTATCTTAAAGTTCATAACTTGGCAGCAAATATCCAATTCCACTACTCTACTCTTGCTGTGTTCGGAAATCCTTGCACACAAGAGGTCCCGTGCGCCGCGACGGGGGTCCGGGCTGGCGAACCTGCTGTAACCGTCACTGTGCTGCGTCACGCGACTGAGCATCTCAAGGTCACATCGACCCTCACCCCCGCCATCCCTCGCCACCGCTTCGCTCCAACCTCGGCTGTATGTGGCGCGTCAGGACAGCTGCCCTCACCCCCACCCCCCTGGCCCCCCTCTCACCCACATTCCTCAGAAGGGGGTGGCGGGGTGGGAGGTTTGGGAGGTTACCAAATACTTGCCCCTAGATCTCTGTACAGCTGCCCCCCTCCCCTCTCCTATCACCGAAAGAAAGGGGGGGCGGGGACCACCCCCTGCCTCGCGTCTTGTGAATCAGCGGATTAAACAAACATTTGACCCCCCGCTCCGATATGGTTAGAGACAGAAGCCGCCCGGCCCACCCATTTGTTGTCATGGGCACCGTGTTTTGTGTACCAACCGAGGTGGTACGAAACACACATGCATAGATACACACACACACACACTGTCTCTCTCTCAAAGTCAAACACACACACACACACACACACATTCTCCCCCCCCTGCAACGGGAGAGTCCTGCCCTTCATCGTATCTGTCAGATGATCACATCTGAGCCCTTTTCAAGTCCCTAAAAATGCCCGTGACATTTCCATACATATGTCAGTGATGCTCTCGCTGTGTGTGTGTGTGTGTGTGTGTGTGTGTGTGTGTGTGTGTGTGTGTGTGGCCAGTGTCCTGTAATACAGTCAATGTAATGTGGTGGGGAGATAAAATTAAAAACTGGGGCTTATTTTACTCTTATTAGCTCATCATTCAGATCTTCCTCCCGTGGGCCCGTTTGACACTTTATTCAATCTGCTTTCGCGTTGACGGAGACTAGAAATTCAAACTCGTGTTGCTCTCAGGCCGATGGCGCCAGATGCCCCAGATGTGTTTTGCCGTTTGAACCGTAATGGAATTTCGAGGAGGTACCAATTTCCACAACCACCGGAGTGATGGCAGGAGGCCCGGGTGATGATTCTAACGCATCACGTCACTTGCGATGAGCAGCGAAATTGCTCCTCAGGAAATGAGTGGATCAAAATCGTGTGAGGGAAAAGCACTCCGCTGAATCATAGAGCCGTTATCTGTGGCAGTCTGTAGAGTCAGAGCGCCGACACACGGGAAATTCTATTAATCCAAACTGTTTGCTCTTGTAATGGAAAGCAACAATTCATTTATCAATAAAGGTTTGTACCGGAGTACAAATTGGAGATAGGGTTTAGTTGTTTTATGAATATTAGCACGGTGAAAACGCTTCGATAAAACACTGTTTGTAGCTGCTACTAAGTAGTGTGCGATATTTCAGCTATTTGGCGCAGATGTCCAAACGACACGCTGCTTTGAATCTTTCATCAACCTTAACCCTTGATCGTCCCAACCCCAGTTTAGTCTCTCTCTCTGATAGTGAGGATGAAACCCATGCAGATGTTTAATGTGCCCCAGCTATCTTATATAACATACGTGCTATACAGTCTGGTCTGGGATCGCAATCAAATTCATCAGAGACCTGCGCTCTGTTGTAGAAAGAGAACTGTAGAGACTTTTGTTTATGGACCAATGATAAAGTCGTCAAAAGACTCAAAGTTGTCTTTTATTTTACTTGCGATGGGAGCGTTTGCACCACTGTGCTGACAGCTTCTCCGTCGACGTTGAAGACACCAAAACGCGTTTTATAGACACAGGATCTGCAGATCTGTCTCATGTGCGTCCGTCTGCTACTTGCAACTGGCTCTCGTCAAGATCACAAAGACATTAGAACACGAGGTCCTCATTACTGCATAGTTTTAACTTTCCTGACTCCACATCTGGTAAAAGTAATGAGCTTAAGCCGTATTTACGGTCCGTTGTTCTGCTGCTCCTCCATCAGCTGCCTCCTTGGTAGATGATACGTTTCGGGTTCATGGCAAGGACACATAGTTGTAAAATATATTTGGCCATTGCAGCTCCTGCTTGAGTAGCACTGGAGGAAAAAGCTTTCTGGATGCTGCTTTGTCGTATGGTGTTTTATGGTATTAGTGAGACTAATTGCTATTTTCCGTGGAGTAATGTCTGTGCGGTTGTACTAAGGCAGCGAGAGACGCTGGAACGCCACCAAGGAATCTTGAACGACTGAAGAGTCGGATCCTGGAAAGCAGCAGCAGGGCGAGGGCACCGACAGCGACGTCCCCCTGGGGAGACCAATGAAAGGCCTTGTTGACAGATGGCTTTACCCCCCCAGTCTTTAGGCAGCGGCACTTTGTGAGGTTTGTTTCCACGTCCTCACAATGAAAGACCTCTAATCTACCCAAAAGCTAATCCGCCATGAGTGATATTACTCTTTTAATCTGCACGCACATGCAATATTTTCCTCTCTTTTTTCCCTCCCTAACATTCATTGACATTTTGGCCTATAAAAAACAAAGACTGCAAATGTACGCGACCACTTATTACCACGTGTGATTATAACAAAGGTCGGCGGGTCAAAGGGACGTGAATATTAATCTGCGTTGGACGGGACTCAACAGAATCCCTCCTGCCAGGAAGCACCACGAACTGCCAGGGATCACAGCGCCGGGGCGGGACGTCCATTAGCTTAATGAGGCTTTCACTTGGCCGGAGAGGAGATTTGGATCAGCTTTGTGCGACCGGGTGCGTGCGTGTGTGAGTCTGTGGTGGCTTTTGCTTGTCTCTCCTGTAATGTCTAACGATTGAAATGTGATCTAAAGTCCATAATAAGATTGCATAATTGTTGCTGTGTCAGTGAGTTTACAGGAGCGACGGCTAAAAGGGGGAGAAAACACTTTCTGCAGAGTTCAACCCGCCGCAAAGAGCTTCTAGCCTCACATACACACACCGTCGCCTGCCGGCACAGCTGCAAAAATACAGTATTCAATGACAAACTGGTTTAAAAGACACTTCTTTTATATGTTTCCTGATATTCCTATTTGAGGATTTGCTCCTGTAAATGATAAAAGTTTGGTTCTTGAAACCCGGGACTGAATGAATAAAAACGGGTAGCTTGATGATGCTTAATAGGCTGTAGTTGTGGCCCTTGTGTGTGTGGCGTGTTCATTAGTTCCAGATAGCATGACTCGTGTCATTTGTGCTACAGCCAGCTGGCTTTCTAATAGGAGGCCTATTTTTTTAATGAAAATAATTCTGCTGGTTCACATTTACGTCGTATAAATTGATGATAAACTGACTCACACTTCACAGAAAATGTAAACAATCTCTTTTTTTTCTTCTATTGTACGATTTTCAAATGTATTTCTTTACTAACAGACACAGTTAACAAAGTAGGTTACGTGCATTTTTGCATAAAGACACGAGTGATCGTGGCTTTCATTAGTACCCTTTTTACAGTCACGTCTGTGACCCACTTGGACTTTTTAAAATGTTGACATTTTCCGCAGCTTCTAAATGTGATCCGTGTTTCTCTGTACGTGTCTCGTGTTCTACATCCAGCCTCTATGACGCTGCAGAAACACGACACTCCTTTCGGCTGTTTGGTATTTGGCAACTCGGAGGGACAGAGAGAGGGAGGGAGGGAGGGAGAGAGTGCGAGAAAGAAAGAAAGGGAGGGAGTGCGTGCCGTACGTGCGCGAGGGAAGGAAGTAGTCAATAATCGAGGTGCGAGCAACGACTCGCTACATCAGTGGCAGCAGAGCTGTCGGAGGTAGCCGGCACAGTTCTCCTCCTCTGCAAGGAGGCAGCGAGAGCCCCAAGTTTGGATCTGTATCAAAGTGGGTTAGAGGAAGGAGGAAGAGCTGTAGATAGTTGGAGCCCCATCACTTCTAAATCCGGTTGAAAGCACCATTTAAAAAGGGCGAAGGGAGACGAAAAACAAGGTCACGCGTGAAGATACTCTCCGAGGTCCAGAGAGACCCGGCTTAGAATGGACGAAGAGGAGGACGAGGTGAATCATCCGCCTCTGTGTGTGTGTTCCTACGTGTCCGTCTCGGAGGAAAATGTGTTTTCTGCATGTGTGTGTGTGTGTGTGAGCATCAACACACCAGAAAGAGGGAGAGTAGTGGGAGAACATCGGGATAATACGGTGCGTAGGCTGTAGCTGGTGGAGAACAGTGGGACGGCAGGTGGAGAGTTATGTCGGATCGAAGGGGAGGGCTTCACTCATTCCAATGGTCATGGGAATGTATAAACTAATGTGTTGCATCATCGCCTCGTCGGTGTCTTTCTGGAAAGCGCTTGGTTCATTTGGGTGTTGTTGCTCCAATAAAGGTCTCAGGTGTGTTCTGTGGGCGAGAGTTCAAAAATAAATGAATCCACTACCGTATGTATATAGTTATATATGTATGTTTGTGTATAATATGTATATATATATATATATATATATATATATCTTTTGATTGGTGCAATAATACGAGACTATACCTAAAAAAATGTGTAATTACTTATTTGAACAGGTCAAGAAGCCCTTTAAGAATTGGAGGTTTCTTAACTTGTTTCTCCTGCGGCGGTGTCTCGGGCAGAGTCTTGGGGTTGAGGAAGGAGGTTCTTGGTGTCGTCCTCAAACACCCGCTGGCTGGAGATACAGGATTTAAAATTCCTACATGTCCTTTCTGGGACAGGCGCCTATTTTCGGCAACTGAGCTCTTCTCAGCCAGAAATCAGCCATATTTTCGCTAAATGATGGGGCACCTCTCCCGTGATGGCAGGACTACAAAAGAGACGTACAAGCACAGTCCATTTACCATCGTTGTCTCTAACGTGGAATACAGTGTTATTCTACACCTCATAACATCACGAAGGGTCGAGCCTTCTGCCTGTTCATCACCCACGCTCCACAATCGTAGTGTGCGTACTGGACTATTGCACCGCCATGATGTTTGTGTCCTCACGTCGGTGTCTCCCCGTGTTTTTCCTCCCCAGAACGGTCTGAACGCTCTTCATCTGGCGGCGAAGGAGGGCCACACGGATTTGGTGGAGGAACTGTTGGAGAGGGGCGCGCCTGTCAACTCCCCAACAAAGGTGCATATTCATGTCGCGTTGGCGCTTATCGACTTTAGCTGAGCGGAGATGACAGTGACAGCTGAGTGACCGGGGGAGGGAGAGGGAGATGGAGAGAACTTTGAAACTTGATTTGCGACCTGAAGGTCTGGCGCCGCCCTCGAAGAGGATAAAGTTACACAAAATCTTTCAAAAACTGTTACTAGATGCTCGGTCTTCACTGGTGGAGAAGGAGGCGTGAGAGCGAGTGGAAGGGTGAAGCTACTCGGCAAGCTGTCAGTCACGCGACGTTTAATGTGTCCGGCTCAACAACGGCTGCCCGTGTCCTTGGATCGACATGCATTTTGACTTTTGTATTCACGGATGCAAGATACTGTATGTTTAGTTGTTTTTTTTTGAAGTAAAACTAGATGTTTGCTTCTCTTTTCGAGCGGCCCAAAGGCCTTCGTACCTTGAAGTCTTCTTTTCTCCCTCCTGCAGAAAGGAAACACTGCCCTCCACATTGCCGCGTTGGCCGGACAGAAAGAAGTAGTCCGACTACTGGTGAAGAGAGGCGCAGACGTCAACTCTCAGTCACAGGTGGGAAGTCGCTGTCATCAAATGAAGTCCAACGTTTGACATGATCGTACATTACGTGTGTGTGTGTGTGTAAGTACGTGTGCCTTGGCCTCCCCAGAATGGCTTCACTCCCCTCTACATGGCGGCCCAGGAGAATCACCTGGAGGTGGTGCGATACATGCTGGAAAATGACGGGAACCAAAGCATTGCAACAGAGGTACGAATAACACTGCTTTCCTTTGCTTTGCTCTAAAGTCTGAACGGTATTCACTGTTCCCCCCCCGCTTTCCTCCCAGGACGGCTTCACGCCGCTCGCCATCGCCCTCCAGCAGGGCCACAACTCCGTGGTCTCCCTGCTGCTGGAGCACGACACCAAGGGTAAGGTCCGCCTCCCGGCTCTGCACATCGCCGCCCGCAAGGACGACACCAAGTCGGCGGCGCTGCTGCTCCAGAACGACCACAACGCCGACGTCCAGTCCAAGGTGACGAAAGGGCCGAAATGAATGGGGGGGGGGGAGGAGGTAGTGGAGGCGGAGTTCCAAGATGGGATACGTGATGGGGGAATAGGAAGAGCAATCAGGGGGAGAGTGCAGTTACAAAATGGGAGAGGCAGAGAGGAGGTGCGCAATGATGCATTTGACTGAATGGATCGTTTTTCATGTTGACAGTTTAGTTTATTTTCCCGATGACTTGACCTGCCGTTCAGGATCGTGGTCATGTTGATGGGCGGAGCCTCTCTCGGAGGCCTTCGCTGTTTGCCTCCTTCGTCTTCGTCTTTTCCTTTTCCCGTTTGTGTGACCTGTGTTTTCTGTGAATCTCGTGCTAAACCCCTTTCCCCCTAACAACCCTACATCCTCTCTCTCCCCCCCCCCTCCTCCCCCTTCTCCCCTCTCCCTCTCAATGCGTCCCAACCAGATGATGGTGAACAGAACCACAGAGGTATACAGACTCCATCACCTCTTCATTTAGTTCTGACCATCATTTAGCTCTTTTCTCCTGAACCGTCCCCCCGTTTAACGAGGACAGAAGATGTCCTGCATGTCAGAACTATGTGTCAATTAAAATGAATGCATGCAGCTGACAGTTCCGTACCACACTCCTGCATGGCTGAGCGAAGTACAAAGTACCCCCAGAAGATGATGTTTATTGCATTTGTGAATTAATAAATCTCTCTCTTTGAAATGTATTAGCCTTACACTGACTGAAATCACACACCGATCACACTTTGTTTTGTCATTAACTGCTTTTTCTGTGCTTAACCTGCAGCATGTGTACTTGACAGCATTGTTTTTCCTCTCTGAAACACGTTGTTGATCCTTAAGTTAACTCTGTTTCTTAATTGAATTGCACCGTGTCTATCAGAATGGGAAGGTAAGGAGTAAACCCACTTAACTGTGTAGTATAGATACGTGTTTATACATGACACATGTATAAATATCCATTTGTCCGTCCAAGCCGATTCCCATCAGTGTGCAGTTGCTTTGTGTATGTTTGTTTATGTTTTTTGATGATCAAAAAGTGTCTGACTTGGTTTTTCTTAGCGAGCATGGTAGAAGCGCAGTGTTTTGGGCATGCATTATATATTGCCTGTGCTATTTTGAGGTTATGTTAATCCTTTGATGCTTCTTCGTACACCAATGTGTGTAGTTTTAATTTTTTCAGCATGCGTTGTGCTGCATCAGTAGAGTCAGGTTTCTATCCTCCAAACGCCACAAAAAAAGTTTGTTTCTTGCGTTCATTTATTATTTTCTGTCTTCCATCTCATTTCATCTTACTTTGCTCCTGTTTTGCAACGCTACTTTTTTCCTCAACATTTTCTTCCTTTGTTTTTGGTCCTTTTCCTCTCAATCTCTCCTTCCCTTCGCTTCTCCATCTCAAGCAGAGCGGCTTCACCCCTCTGCACATCGCGGCTCACTACGGCAACGTGAATGTCTCCACGCTGCTGCTGAACCGAGGAGCCGCTGTGGACTTCACAGCCAGGGTATCGCCCCATTTTCACAAATCGAGACCTTTTTGTCTTCTGCTGTCTTTTTAAAATAAGGCGTTTGTGTTTCCACTTGAAAGCTTGCAAAGCTGTGTGTTTTAATGTAAATGATATAAGCTTCCCTTTTTAATCTTGGCCTTTATTAACTAGAATCGTAGTTGCAGGTTGCATTATTGAGATTGGTCCGTGAAGTTAGCTGCAGGTTGAATGCATCACTGTCAAAGGTAACTATTTGTGGTATGGTTTCGTTCCCATAACTTTCCTTGTTTCCCTGCCAGAATGGGATAACGCCTCTGCATGTGGCCTCCAAGAGAGGCAACACGAACATGGTGGCGCTGCTGCTGGACCGAGGTGGTCAGATAGATGCTAAAACCAGGGTGAGACTTTAAGTCTGGACAATAGATTTTAAACATGACTCTGCAGGTTCCCCTTAATCATCAATCCCTTAATCCAAAATACATGTTTTCGTACTTACTTATATTGCTATTTATCATCGTTATCTAAATTGTTTAGTTATGACTCTCCTAGATTTGGAGAGGACTTCTTTTGCATATTCCAGGGCACGTTGACAAAATAGTTTAAAATGTCCTGCCATAAGGTCCTTGGACTTTACTGATATAATAGGTCATGATTTCTCAAGAGATCCTTTTTGAGCATTTCAAGCTGGCTGTCAAAGGCAGACTCCTCTACAGCTGATGCCTCCAAAACTAGGAAAGTGGTGTGAACCGTCCCTTTTTAATAGTCTACATTTATCAATAGCCTTTTTTTATTCAATAGATTGGAATATTGTTTACCCGTTGAGTAAATTAACGTGTGTGATTGTCGCGCAGGACGGGCTGACCCCCCTGCACTGCGCAGCCAGAAGTGGACATGACCCAGCATTGGAAATTCTGCTGGAGAGAGGAGCTCCCATCTTAGCCAGAACCAAGGTAGCGTCCGCGTGGCATCAGCTCAGTAGTGTTTCTCTGCACAAGCGCTTGTGTTTTACCCTCCTTTCGCGTCTCATCTCTGCCATGTCTTCCTCATCTCCTTCCTGTTGCTTCTTGTGTCCCCCTGCATCTTCTCCCGCGTCCTCACACAGAACGGACTGTCGCCGCTGCACATGTCGGCCCAGGGGGACCACGTGGAGTGTGTGAAGCTCCTGCTGCAGCACAAGGCGCCGGTGGATGACGTCACGCTGGACTACCTCACAGCGCTGCATGTCGCTGCTCACTGCGGCCACTACAGAGTCACCAAGCTTCTGCTGGACAAGAAGGCCAATCCCAATATCAGAGCTTTGGTAAGGGGTTCACACACATGGAGGTAGATGATGCAGGGTTAGCAAAGGATTCCTTTCATTCGTCTCAGATAAAATGAAACACAGGAAAATTAGTCAGGCGTGAGGCAACTACCCAACAGTGGAAAAGAAGTCATACGGTCATCCTGTGAACGTATGATCATTTACCTATTTATTCTTAATTTCTGTGTAAATGCTCCTCCGTTACATGTACGAATTAAATAATGGGGCACGAATAAATATAAGTCTAAATATGTCTTTCTTCCTCCTCCGTAGTATTTATCAGTTTCTTTTCCTTCCTACCAGAACGGTTTCACTCCTCTCCATATCGCTTGCAAGAAGAACCGGGTTAAGGTGATGGAATTGTTGGTCAAATACGGAGCCTCCATTCAGGCCATTACCGAGGTGAGACGCTCAACGGGCCGCGCCGCCGCCAACATCACCTGTAAACACGGAACACTTTTGCATTTCATGCTCATCTTTCTGCCTCCGTCTGTCCAGTCTGGTCTGACGCCGATCCACGTAGCCGCCTTCATGGGCCACCTCAACATCGTTTTACTTCTGCTGCAGAGTGGAGCGTCTCCAGATGTCCGTAACATTGTGAGTACTGGCAAATCGTCTGTTCCGCTTGTTTCTACTAAGCTCTGCCTCTCGCTATAGAAGTATACCATCTCAGTTAAGCTCCGCCTCTCGCTATAGAAATATACTATCTCAGTTATGCTCCGCCTCTCGCTATAGAAGTATACCATCTCAGTTAAGCTCTGCCTCTCGTTCTAGAAGTATACCATCTCAGTTAAGCTCCGCCTCTCTCTATAGAAGTATACCCTCAGTTAAGCTCCGCCTCTCCATATAGAAATATACCCTCTCAGTTGAGCTCCGCCTCTCCATATAGAAATATACCCTCTCAGTTAAGCTCCGCCTCTCGCTATAGAAATATACCCTCTCAGTTAAGCTCCGCCTCTCCATATAGAAATATACCCTCTCAGTTAAGCTCCGCCTCTCGCTATAGAAATATACCCTCAGTTAAGCTCCGCCTCTCGCTATAGAAATATACCATCTCAGTTGAGCTCCGCCTCTCCATATAGAAATATACCCTCTCAGTTGAGCTCCGCCTCTCCATATAGAAATATACCCTCTCAGTTAAGCTCCGCCTCTCGCTATAGAAATATACCCTCTCAGTTAAGCTCCGCCTCTCGCTATAGAAATATACTAGCTCAGTTAAGCTCCGCCTCTCATACTTGTTTCTTCCTACTTGAGCTCTGCTTCTGTCCGTGCGTTCTACAAGCTGTTAAGCTCCGCTTCTCGTGTGTATGCGTGTTATACCAGTTGACCGTTAAGCTCCTCCTCTTTGGACCACTCACTGTTAAGCTCCGCCTCTCCTCTGTACATTCTACCAAAGAACATCTCATGGTTGACATAAAGCAAATTTGCATTTCAGTATTTTTTTTCAGCCGTCGGTTTTCCTAGTGCGACCCCAAGAGTGTTTCCTTCAGCCTCTTAATGTCTCTGTATACCAGCGTGGGGAGACGGCGCTCCACATGGCAGCACGCGCAGGTCAGATGGAAGTGGTTCGCTGTTTGCTGAGGAACGGAGCGTTGGTGGACGCCATAGCCAGGGTGAGTCAGAGTTACTCACCCGTTCCTTCTGCTCATCACAGAGCAGCAATATTTCACCCTCCAACTGGTGAACGCGTGCTCACGGGCCGCGTCGCCTCGCGATGCGGTCTTTTCTAATGCAACCGCCTCGAGCCATCTCTCTGCCGTCTCGTCCCTCAACCCCAGGAGGACCAGACTCCCCTCCACATTTCGTCCCGTTTGGGGAAAACCGATATTGTCCAGCTGCTGCTGCAGCACATGGCTCACCCGGACGCTTCCACCACCAACGGCTACACCCCCCTCCACATCTCAGCCAGGGAGGGCCAGGTAGAGACCGCCGCCGTGCTGCTGGAGGCCGGAGCCTCACACTCGCTGGCCACAAAGGTGAACACGCAACAGAAATCCTGAAAGATTCAAGATTCTTACAACAAATACAGATTTGAAACGAACGTCGTTCTCCCTTTTGTTTCCGCAGAAAGGATTCACTCCGTTACACGTAGCGGCGAAGTATGGAAGCCTCGATGTAGCAAAACTTCTCCTTCAACGCAAAGCTCTCCCCGATGATGCCGGCAAGGTGACCAGGGACTTATTTCTCCACATTGTTTGAATAGAGACAAAGTGTGAGGTTAATACAGGACCGTTGTGTCTCTGAAACAGACTCATTATAGAGAAACTCCACAAAATCACCACAGTTTCAGTCATTCGATGAAATTCCTGCTTCCTACAGAACGGCCTGACTCCGCTGCATGTAGCCGCTCACTATGACAACCAAGAAGTAGCTCTGCTGCTGCTGGATAAAGGGGCGTCGCCGTATGCTACCGCAAAGGTCAGTACGTCGGAGACTTTCGCACTACGCGCCGCATTCTGCCGTAGCAGATATCCTGGGATCAACCCGCTGTTCTAAGCGACGGTTTGCACTAACTGCCGACCCTCCCCGGGTTCTCCAGAACGGCTACACTCCTCTCCACATCGCCGCCAAGAAGAACCAGACCAACATCGCGTCTGCGCTGCTGCAGTACGGAGCGGAGACCAACGTTCTGACCAAGCAGGGCGTCAGCCCTCTGCACCTGGCGGCCCAGGAGGGACACGCCCAGATGGCCGGCCTGCTGCTGGGCAAAGGAGCTCACGCCAACACAGCCACCAAGGTCGCACACACGCACACAGAAACACCACAAGGCAATCTTCACAGGGGCAGAAGCACAGACACGCATGTTATACATCTTGCAAACGTTGAGAATATGCGACAGGGGTTGAGGTTTACAGGTTTTTCTGTCACGCCTCGATTACTCCTTGTGCGGTTTAAAGAAATCCGGTGATTCAGCCAAGCAGTTAGACACAAAGACATTGAGGGAGCGCCGTGCTTTGCATGTTGCAGACCGGACTGACGCCGCTGCATCTCGCCGCCCAGGAGGACCGAGTCAGTGCAGCAGAAGTGTTGGCCAAACATGACGCCAACCTGGATCAGCAAACTAAGGTACAACTTGTGTGTTAACACTAATTAATACAAGGGTATTTTTAGGGTGTTGTGTTTACTGGTAAGGAATCTCAATACAAATATACAAATGCAGCATATCTGCCACCTACTGGCTTAAAGGAAGCATGACAGTATCTCCGTTTTTAGGAGCTTTACCTTCTTATGTTGTTTTTTTGTAGCTTTGTATACACAGCAACTACACAAAAAAGAAAGCAGGTGCATTTACATTTCATCGTTTCTTCTTCTTCAGCTCGGGTATACCCCTCTGATAGTGGCCTGTCACTATGGAAACGCCAAGATGGTGAGCTTCCTGTTACAGCAGGGCGCCAGTGTCAACGCCAAAACCAAGGTAGGATTCACATGTCAGTCAGTGTCGGACCACCGGCTCAGCTTAAAATGGGTGATGTTTCAGTGGTGTGGTCTTTCTTCGTGCAGAATGGGTACACACCCCTTCACCAGGCAGCACAACAAGGGAATACACACATCATCAATATGTTGCTGCAGCATGGCGCCAAGCCGAATGCCACTACAGTGGTAAGATACAAATGCATGTTTTACTTTATTCAGAATAATAAAATGCAAAGTTAAATCGTCGTTTCTGTGTCCCGTGAATAATGTTGTCTTTTTGTTTGACATTAGAATGGAAACACTGCTCTGTCTATTGCCAAACGCCTGGGTTACATCTCTGTCGTGGACACACTGAAAGTGGTCACTGAGGAGGTCATCACTACCACAACGGTAAGCCGGTGGTACCTTCAGACGAACCAGTAGGTTTTGTGTGACATATTCCCCCCCAAAAATGAATAAAGTGTTCTCTTCTCTGGTTGTTTCCATCCCCGTGACTGTGAATGGTCCCGTCAGACGGTCACAGAGAAACACAAGCTCAACGTTCCTGAGACCATGACTGAGATCCTTGACGTGTCCGATGAAGAAGGTGAGCCTCTTCATACAGAAAAAGAGAAGAAGAACGTCCTGTTTACGTAAAAAAAAGAACTGGCAAAGTGTTCAGGTTCCCCCATCATCAGCCAGCTGTTTAGTCATGCATAGTGTGTTGTGGGTAATGTGGTTTTGCAGCCGTGGCTATAAAAGCTGTATGTTTCATAGCTTTGGGGCAGGAAGAAGTCATCGTCCCAGATGACTGTGGAATTGGATTATTTCTAATGGCCATCAGGGCGCAACTCCTCATGCGTGATTGATTTTCTCAACTATACAATCTACTTCTCACTTGATTTATTCACTTCTGGTCTCTAGCCTTCTTCTATACAGCATGATGTTTATTTTGTAATTGATGGTCTATTTAGAGTCAAATAGAGCAGAGTATGCTTCATCTTTTGATTGACAGGTCCCTACAACCGTTGTCCAGGAGGTTTCTATGTTTTTATCTTAAAACGTGTTGCATATTTGGTAAAAAATGGCCCCAAGACTGAAAGTTCTCACAATTCAAAGAACCGAGCAGCAGGATTTCATAGAAGAGACAGAACTTCCTGGTCTTCTTTTCTTTTCTTTTTTTCCATCCTTCTCGTCTTTGTCCCCAGGCGAGGACACCATGACGGGTGATGGAGGCGAGTACCTGAGAGCGGAGGATCTCCGAGAGCTGGGTGATGACTCTCTGCCTGGACACTACCTGGACAGCTTCAGCTACATGAGCCACAACCTGGACAGGTCTCGACCAAACGCACGCATCCTCACACCGAACAACCACAGCTGATAAATGACAGCGCACGTGTTGCCGGAGGCGACGTGTAAAAATACATACAAATCCAACCGGCTTTTTCCCAACAGGCCGCAGCTCACCCCAATTCACCAAAGCTTCTGTCAGAAGGACGGAGTTCTCATTGAAGAGATGCTGACGAGCCACCAGGTAAGGACGGAGCTTTGCAGGACGTGCGCGGCTTACTTCGGAACATGCCGGTGTTCGGGACCCAAACCGGCCTGCTTGCCGCTCCGCAGGTGTCCGCGCTGTCCAGAGAACACGACAAGGACTCGTTCCGTCTGAGCTGGGGTGCTGAGCACCTCGACAACGTGGTGCTGTCCTCCAGTCTGCTGCACTCCGGGTACACACACACACACACACACACATAAGATTCACACTAGTGTAAACGTGACACTAGAGAATCATGTATTGGTGAATTGGAGACTCCGTCTGTCACAGGATCGAATGAGTCATTATTTTTCACTCCTTCACATCCATGTTTTTTTATTTTTTTATCTTTACCTGTGTCTTTTTTCTGTCTCTGGTCTGGTTTCTCTCACTTTTATTTATTCTTTATTGTCTTTTTTTCTTTTGTTTGTTGTGTTGCCTCTTTGTGCACTTTCTTGCCTGTGTGTGTGTGTGTGTGTGTGTGTGATGGTTTGTTGTACTCTGCTTCTAGCCGTTCCTCTCCGTGCCTAGACCATGACAACAGCAGGTGATTCTTTGTTCTTTATTTTGGCTACGGTCTCGCTGCTCATGCGCCGTTCAAATGTCTCCTCCCCCCTCCGGCTGTCCGTCTGCATGACTCCATTATGCACTTCGCATTTCCATATTTAAAGGTTTGCTCGGCAGTGATCGTCTAACCAAGTGTTTTGGTTCCTTGATGTAGATCAGACTTCTTTAATCTTGAGCACACACCGATACAAAGACCAAATATAGTATTCTTATTTTTCTACCTTTTATATAATAGCAATGTATGTATGAGAATGACGTGGGGCAGTTGGGTATTTATTACAGCTTGATCTGAACTTGATAGTCCCTGAGGGATAAAGCTGACGTTTAAGAATGGTTCTCAAATATATAGTGACATTTAAACTAAAACAGAAAATGTCATTCAAGCAGGATTAAAGCACTGATCATCTTCCAGTTGACGCGTGTCAACGTCTCACAGACAGAAACCTCGACCATCACTGGAAACACTTGCTTGCCCAAAGATACCAGATATTTAAAACATATTTGCTCCTTAAAACACAAGATTACCCCGACATAATCTTGTGCAATGCCCTCCTCTTTGCTTGCCTGGCTTACAAATGAAATGCAAATGGACCCGGAAAGACAAGTGGCTGGAATGACCTATAACCTGCTGCGATATGCTGATTGTTATAGCAAGAGTCCTTCTGGATGCAATGGCATTCGCGCGTTCTGCATGGAGGCTCAGGACCAGCAGATTTAACATGTGTGCCAGAAGCGTTGCATTTATTAACCCCCGATCGTAAAGAGAGAAACAATTTGCCGACTTCTTGCCGCCCCTTTTTTTTTTTTTTCCCCCTCAGCTTCCTGGTCAGCTTCATGGTAGACGCCAGGGGCGGGGCCATGCGCGGTTGCCGTCACAACGGCCTGCGGATCATTGTGCCGCCGAGGAAGTGTTCTGCGCCCACGCGGGTGACGTGCAGGCTGGTGAAGAGACACCGTCTGGCCTCCATGCCCCCCATGGTGGAGGGTGAGGGGCTGGCCGGTCGCGTCATCGAAGTGGGACCCACTGGAGCCCAGTTCCTGGGGTGAGTGTGTCTGCCAAATGTGTGTGTGTGTGTGTGCCTGTTTGTATGTGTGTGTGTGTCTGTCTGTGCGAGTGCGTTTACACTGTTGTGTGGTGTGTTCATCTTTTCTTCTTCATTCCTCCTCTGTGCTGCGCATGGATCAGTAAGCTCCACCTTCCCACAGCTCCGCCCCCTCTAAATGAGGGTGAGAGCCTGGTCAGTCGCATCCTGCAGCTGGGTCCTCCAGGGACCAAGTTCCTCGGGTAGGACCATGGTTGGGGGAGAGCCTCCCATCCCGGAACTGGTTACATACTCATCCATATTTTTCAATTCTTTTTTTTTTAATACTTTTTTTTTCTTTTTCCACCCGTTCTTTTTTTCCCTGATATGATATTCAATAGTTTATTTTTCTTTACTCCCCCTGTTTCTGTGTCTGAAACCTTGTGGTGTTGTGGTATCCTTATGCTTTTCCTCCATAGAAACAATCCCCAATCTAGTTGGATTTTGATTATCTCGTTGCGTTTGAATATTTTTCAACTTCCTTTTTCATTAATATCTTCTTTTTTTTTTACCAGGCATGTAATGCACCTGCTATTTTTAAACTCAAATTTGAGTCTCGACTTCTTTTCTGTTTAGTTTTTTTCCTTTTATTGCATAAATCAAACCGAGGCTTCTCCAACGAAGCCATTACAGACTTGTGTTTGACTTTCGCCGTATCGCCATCTCTAGGCCCGTGATTGTGGAGATCCCCCATTTCGCAGCCCTGCGGGGAACAGAGAGGGAGCTGGTGATCTTGAGGAGTGAGACAGGGGAGAGCTGGAGGGAACACCACTGTGACTTCACCGAAGAAGAACTGAACCAGATACTCAACGGCATGGATGAAAGTACGGCATCTTATCTAGACCAGTAACAAAGGGTGGTTGGTAGCTGGTGACATCTTGCATTAGAGGCATTTTTCATGAAAACAATACATCAAAGATGAGATGATAACATTAAGCCATCAGGAAGTAACAAATAAAACAATCTGAAACATTATTGTCCACACTTTACACAGTTAACTGCTCTCGTGGACTTCATACTAAACATATGCACTCGTCACAGAACTTGATTCTCCGGAGGAGCTTGAAAAGAAAAGAATATGCCGCATCATCACCCGAGACTTCCCGCAGTATTTCGCGGTGGTGTCGCGGATAAAGCAGGACAGCCATTTGATTGGACCAGAGGGCGGCGTCCTCAGCAGCACGCTCGTGCCGCAGGTCCAGGCGGTCTTCCCCGAGGGAGCCCTCACCAAGAAGATCAGAGTAGGGTTGCAGGTACGTACACCGAGTCAAATGTTCAGAGTTGTGGCGACAGATGAAGTAGTGTTGACTGTGGTTGCACGCTGTCCCAGGCTCAGCCCATTGAGGTCGAGGTGGTGAGAAAGATCCTGGGCAACAAAGCCACGTTCAGCGCAATCGTCACCTTGGAGCCGCGGAGGCGAAAGTTCCACAAGCCAATCACAATGACCCTCCCTATTCCCAAGAGCTCCAATAGTGACGGGGCCAGCGGCGTGTACAGCGGCGGGACCCCCACCCTACGTTTGCTTTGTAGCATAACAGGTAGGTGGTCGACCAGCAAACCAAACCAAACCAAAAATAGTAAAAGGCTTTTCAGCTGTTTGTGGCATTGTAAGACAGTCAAAATTAATACATATTTAATGCAATTTAAAAAGAGATTTTCTCTCAATGCATTCCTGCATCAGGAAATCCTGTCATCATTTTTGTTTTGTATAAATAATACCAAAGAAAAGGGTACAAGCGGTACAGCTTTGCGTTTCAGGTGGGACGACTCCGGCCCAGTGGGAGGACATAACCGGCTCCACGCCTCTCACCTTCGTTAACCAATGCGTGTCCTTTACCACAAACGTGTCCGCGAGGTAAAACCTCTAAAGTGTCCTTCGCATGGGAGCTCAACACTTTCGTGATGGAGGTGATCTGACTAGACGTGTCCCTCGTGTTCGTCCTAGGTTCTGGCTGATCGACTGCAGACAGATCCAGGAGTCTGTCAGCTTTGGCTCTCAGCTGTACAGAGAGATCATCTGTGTTCCGTACATGGCCAAGTTTGTGATCTTCGCGAAGACGCTGGACCCCATTGAGGCCCGCCTGCGCTGTTTCTGCATGACGGACGACAAGATGGACAAGACCCTGGAGCAGCAGGAGAACTTCACGGAAGTCGCCCGGAGCCGAGACGTTGAGGTGGGGCACAAATGAGAAGAGGGGGAAAGTGGGGAAAGAGGATTGATTTGTCTGAGGTAGAAAGAAGGATAGAAGTGTGGTATAAAGAAGACATGCTGTGCACTGAATAGTGAAGAGTGGGTGACAGGGACATAAAAATAGGTTCATGCAGACACAGTCTACCAACTAGCTCTTATTAATACATTTCATGTCCTTTGAAAAATTCTCTTTTTGAGATTTGACGACTTGTCACATCTCCACACAGGTGCTGGAAGGAAAACCCATATTTGCCGACTGCTTTGGAAACCTTGTTCCTCTAACCAAGAGCGGGCAGCACCACGTCTTTAGCTTCTTTGCCTTCAAGGAGAACCGACTGGCCCTCTTCATCAAGGTATGACTGCAGATTGGATCAAAATGAAGCTGAAATGTCACTTATTTACTGATGTTAATGGAGCGAATGGTCGTTCAATCCATGGACAGATTAGAGACACGGCACAGGAGCCATGCGGTCGCTTGTCCTTCACCAAGGAACCGCGCACATATCGCACACTAAACCACAATGCCATCTGCAACCTTAACATCACTCTCCCTGCATACTCAAAGGTTAGTGCCCACAGCACCTCTCGCTTTCTATTCACATAACAGGACATTCTTTGTAGTCGCATTGTGTAACGGCATTGTTTCCCTTTTATTCTTCTCTTCAGGAGTCTGATTCAGACCAAGATGCAGATGATGAGGTATATGAACTTTATTTGATACAGTTCCCCCAACCAAATAATTGGGTCATAACTAGGTTCTAGCTAACCTTGCTTTTTAAATCCTTTCTTGCAGAGTGAGAGGAGTGACAAGAAATGTAAGCTAAACCCTTGTTTTGTGTCAAACAATTTTAGAATCGTGTGATTTATTTTCACAAATCGGAACGGACCCCTTAACAAGAGACACATGGCCTCCATTTTTCAATGGTTGGGTTGTCTGTGGCTCTACAGTATATACAGTAATTATTGTATCAATATTTAGTACAACATCTAAATTGGAGAAACATCACTTGACATCAGATCATAAAGGTTGTAAAGTATTAGTTTAGAAATATTTAGACATTTATGTACTAACAAATAGACTGATTTTACGGCTTTTACTTTCCATTTAGGTTAAGCCTGCGATCTTATTTTTCTCTACTAACACTGTACTGTTACATGTTTGTTAATGGAAGCTATGCTATGGCTGATGTACTCTGCATTTCCCTCACTCCAAATCCCATTTACTTTCTCTCACCCATTCCATTTTCTATCTAACATTTACTTTTAATCAAAAATGAAGGTCAAAATAATACTTTTTATCCAAATCCTCTCAAAATTGATGTGATTTCTTCTGTATTTTCCTTAAAATCTCATCTTTGACACATGTTTTTTGTTTATAATATGCAGCATGAAAGTATTCATTTTGACCACTCATTTTTCTAATCCCATACATTTAACATTTTAACCAAACATCATACTTTGGTTGGTTCTTTTTAAGTGTTGTGCTTGTTTGTATTTTATTATTGCTGATTTATATTTTATTATGGCTTAATTTTTTTTTTGGCCACTATTTTGATTGACCATCATTCCTCGGTTACGTTCACTCATTCATAGAGTTGCACCACAATTCAAATCCCTATTTGCAATTTTCCATGATTGCTATTTGAAGCCACTACCTTTTATCTGTAGGTAATCTAATGTTTCGAACAGAAGTTAATTACTACATCACATAATTTACTTATTTGTAAGGGAAGTGTTTTACTTACAAATACAAAATATTTTAAAACTTTAAAACTGACATACCTGACATACAAACCTCCTTCTATCAAAAACCCTTGTATTTGCTTTTATTCAAATTATGCTTTTATCTTTTAAGACTTTATTTTTAAGCAGACTTGACTCTTCATGTGAGCAACAATCTTGAGAAGTTTTGTTTGTCTGTTATCCTTACTTCTTGTCCATTTGTTCCTTATGTAGATATCTCCGTTCTCTTTGGTTGTTTTTATGTACTCTCCTAATATGTAGTGAAACAAATCATTAAGATCTTATTCTCGCCCATATTCTACCTCTTTTGTTCTCCTCTTGGCTTTGCTTCTGCTGTCGCTGCTCTTCTCCCCTCCAACCTCCTCTGGATCCCTTTGTCATCTTCTTTTCGGTCTTCTTTTCAAGACTTTCTTATCCTCTGCCCTGTCATTCTTCTCCACACTCTTTGAACTGAAGATGGATTTTTGATGGCATTGTCTTGATCACAGTTTTCTGATGTCTCTCTTCCCCACTTCATTTGTCCCTTATGTTCTTTACCCTTTTTGGTTTTGACACTTTTTAAATGAAAAAAGATGATGAATCTGAATCAACCGAGACGTTCTCCTTGAGAAATAACCAACCTCTTGACCCTGCAACCCTCGCAAGTCCTGACATTCTCTCAGACATTTCGGACGTCCGTTCATCTAGCATTCCAACGGCAGAGCAAATGGAGCACTCATTATATGACGGGAGAGCCGGAGCCACAGGGTTGGAAGAAAAAGCGCATTCGGCCATTGTGTTCAAAGACCGGTTGGAAAAGGTTGAAGGGATTCAAAGAGGTAGCGTGGGTGAAAGTAGACCGGTACAACGACATGATGCTACAAGAGAATACAAGTGTGTTGAAACAAAGTCTCCCACAGAGGTCAGAGAAATGTCAGGAATGCTCTCCCACCCGAGCATCGACATGGACCAATACCTTGAGGAGAGTTCTGTAGTGACATTTGTTTCTCTGGAAGACCTTGTTCAAGATACATTTGAACCGGTCGTTGTAAAGCGCGACGAGAAACGTCGTCCCCCAAACATAAAGAAACCCATTAGAAAGAAACTTCGAGACAGACAGCGTTCTGGATGTAGTAGCTCGGAGGGTGAGCTTGAAGGGATGAGCTCTGAAGAGTCTTTAGATGGTGAGGTGGTTCTTAAGGAGAGTGGCCTTTTAACCCCCACTGTTACGGATCCTCCTGCTTCTCCTTCAGTGGTTGAGACACCGATAGGATCAATAAAGGAAAGACTTAGAGCTTTAGAAAACAAAGCAGAAGAGGAAAGAGTGAACAAAGACACCCAAGTGCTAATTCCTCAGGCTAAATATTCTATCGCCAAAAAGAATGAGGCTGACATGCCAGAACTTCCCAGAGTTCCAACGCCCCCTAAATCCCCTGGATCTCAGACAGAGAGACTAGAGGAAACCATGTCTGTTAAGGAACTGATGAACGCATTTCAGACTGGACAGGACCCATCAAAAAGTAAAGCGGGCCTTTTTGAGCACAAAGCAGTGGCTCCTTCTTGTATTTCAACATCGATATCTGAATCAGGAGATTCTGATGAGTCACAGAGGACAGAACAAAGTCCTATGAACGAGGCAAACTCTCCAACCCAAACTCAGAAGCTCACAAGTCTCTATCGAGAGACTGATACCAACAAATCGGAGGCTCGACCTGTACGCTTAATTACCGATAACTCAGAGGAATCACAGTTAATCTCACATAGTGCTTCTTCTGGGAAGAGAGTCAAATTTGCTGATGCAATTCAGTGTGACGACGGAATTGTTAGCCCGCAGGTGCCAGAAAAGGAGACTATGTCGGTGAAGGAGCTGATGAAAGCATTCGGGAATGGGCATGATCCCTTAAAAACTGAAGCCGGTGTGTCTCCTTATATTTCAACATTGATATCTGATTCAGGAGATTGTGAAGAGATGAACATCAGCAACCAAAATGCACCACAAGAACCGAAAAGCCAAATCCAAACTCAGAACCTCACCGATTTTCCATCAGGTGATGTCAAGAAATGTGTCCAAACATACACAGAGGATCTGCCATCGGGCTTAGTCAGGGATAGCTCAAAGAAATCCCCATTAGTTTCAGGTAGAGCTCCTTTTGGAAAGATGGTAACGTTTGCTGATGCAGCTCAATGTGATGACAGAAGTTTTTGTCCACAGGGAGAGACTTCAGAGTTGTCAGAGAAGGAGACTTTGTCCGTTAAGGACCTGTTGAAAGCATTCCAGTCCGGGCAGGATCCCTCAAAAACCAAAGCTGGCCTTTATGAACACAAAGCCGTGGCTTCGTCTTGTATTTCAACATTGATATCTGAATCAGGAGATTCTGAAGAGATAAAGACAACTGAGCAAGGTGGTGCACAGACGCCAAAATCACAAACTCAGAATCTTACGAGTTTCCAACAACAGAGCGATGGCAAGGAAAGTTACACAACAGACTTAAGGGGTCAAGCAGTTTGCTTAAATAGAGATAACTCTAAGGAATTACAATTCATTTCAGATTTTTCTCATCTTGGAAAGACCGTAACGTTTGCTGATACAATTCAGTGTGACAATGGAAGCCAACAGAGCCAGGCAACAGAGGTTTCAGAGAAGGATCATTTTTCTGTTAAAGAGCTGATGAGAGCCTTCCAGACAGGGCGTGATCCCTCCGAAGCTCAAGCTGGGCCTTATGAAGACAAAGTTATGGCTTCTTCCATTTCAACACCGATATCAGAATCCGGAAATTCGGAAGAGATACATACGACTGCACAACGGACTGAGCAAAGTCCAGTGCAGGAGCCAAAGTCACAAACCCAAACTCAGAGGATCACAGCTGTCTATCAAGAGGGTGGTGTCCAGAAATATGACGAAACGGACTTACAGGGTCAACCGGGAAGCTTAACCCCAGATGGCTCAGAGAATACACCGATCTTTTCAGATTGCGCTTATTTTGGAACGACGGTAAAATGTGCTGATACAGTTCAAGATGGAGATGTTAACCCACAGAGAGAGGCATCAGAGTTGTCTCAAAAAGACACTACATCTGTAAAGGAACTGATGAAAGCATTCCAGACTGGGCCGGACCCTTTTAAAAGTAAAGCAGGTTTGTTTGAACACGAAACCAGTGCTTCTTCCTCAACACTGATATCTGAATCATTAGATCCCCAAGAGATACTGATGACTCAACACAGTCCCACACTGGAGCCTACACCGCGATCCCTAACACAAAATGTCACAATTTTCCATCCAGAAAGTGATATTGACATAAGTGGAACGTTGGATTTAGGGTCAGAAACAGTCAACATAATGAGAAATAGCTCTGAGGAATTACAGCTAATTTCAGATATTTCTTATTTTGGAGAAACAATTGAAATTGATGATACAATTCAGTTTGATGATGTAACGGTTATCCCTCAGAGAGAAGTGCCAGACTCTTCAGGAGAGAGCAGGGGGAGGATGCAGTTAGAGGAACCAGTCATGAGCATTGGTAGGAGTTTATCTGAAGATCTGCAGATCAGTCCTAATCGCCGACCTTCTGAGGACTTCAGTGCTGATATAAAGGCTGAGCTGGAAGACAGTCCTGAGTACCAGCTTTTCAAGCAGACCTCTACAGCTGAAGAGGTAAGCAATCGACTGGAGGCACCTGAGGAGGAAACCGTGGCTGATTCTGATCCAAAGCCAGCGTCCATCTCCAGTCCCTCTATAAAAAGTTATATTGGGGACACTTATTTTTCTGAGGATCAAATGAAAGATGATGATCTAAGTCCTGGAAGTCCCAAGCGTGAAGGTATGGCTGAATCCTCAAACACGAGTGTTCATCTTAAGAGCTTTTGTTCCAGCTCAGAGGAGAGCGGGAACCATGAAGGACTCACAGTGACCCATCAAGTGAAAAATGAAATGTACACCTACTCTACTGAGAGAAAAGGGGACCTTGCCATTCAGGACGAGAGTCTCCATGAAGCAAGCAAGGAAAGCCAGACACCCGGTCATGGAAGCAAGATGTTAGATGTGGTCCAAACCGAGGAGCCACAACTTCATGAAGTCCATATTGAGAGGAACACA